AAACCTGTCAGTTACGACAGGGACAAAGAAGTAATGCAAAAAAGAGGAGAATTCTGCTGTCTTTTCAAATCACTCATCGGAGGTCTTGTGAAAGTATACTAACCCTGGCCCCAGGCTGGCAGAGGGGAAAGCCCTAATGGAAATAACATTATATAATGGAATGTGCTTTGTGTATTAGGGGAAAGTTACAAATACTTGAGATAGGACCCCAAACTCCACTGTCCACTTGGGTGGAGGCGGCCCTCAAGATCTGTAATACCTGGGACCACGCAGAAGAGGCAAAGAAGGCTGAGAGAGCAGAGAAAAACATGCAGCTTTCGGGTGACATAGTTGAACTGCCACCTCAGGGTAACTCAAAAGGCCCTGCAAAACTTACTCGGCAAGGGTTAGGTAGGAATCTGCGCATATCATGGAAAGGAGGCTCACTGCAGAAAAGAACGTCAGAACTGAAACCAATCTAGAAGGAACTGTTTGGGCAGGAGCTCACGCCAAACCTATGCTGGACAGACTTCCCTAGGAGGAGAGGAGACGAGGGGAAGGCTCCACTGGTGTGACGTTTACAGCTTCCGGTTGTAGTGAGCTCGTCCAGGTTCCACGACAACCAGAAGCTGTAAACATCACACCGGTGCAACCCCTGACATTGCAGGTGGGAAAGCAGAACTCTTCCTAGACACAGGAGCTGCCTACTGTCCTGAACTAACCTGTCCGTTGGCCCTCTCTGATAGCAGGTGTGGATGGGTAGCCGAAGGTAAGGCATTTTACTCCCCCGCCCCCGAGTTATGAGATTGGGTCTACCACCATTATCCACTTCTTTCTGTATGTCCCTGAATGTCCTATACCTTTGTCAGGAAGATGTCCTTAGTAAATTAGGTGCTTCTGTCTCTCTTAAAGGAGATCGGAAAGGTTTCTGTGGGGTCTGAGCAGGCAATCCGTCTGTTAGCTCTCCTTAATAATCCTGATGCAGGACTTCAGTAAATCCCTGAGAAAATAAGGGCCCAGGTACACGTATTAGTTTGGGATACTAACACACCAGGATGTGCTGTGAACTAGACTCTACTAAAAACACAAACTGGTGTGGTGGTGCACACCTGTAATCCCAGCACTTGGGAGGCTGAGGCAGAAGGTTCACCACAAGTTCAAAGCCAGCCTGAAATACACAGTGAGTTCAAGGCCAGCATGAACTACAGAGACCCTGTCTCACAGAAAAAAAAAAAAAAGAAGGGTACAGGTCTGTTTAAGACTTCTGTGCAACTAATGAGGCACCCTTATCCCTTGCTAGCCAGGTGCCCAGGGAGGAGAAGTATGTTGCTGTCCTAGACCTGAAGGACACCTTTTCTGGTATCTCCCTCCATTTGGAGTCATATTTATTCACCTTTGAATGGCAGAACCCTGATTGACAGCAGGCTATTCGGTATACTTGGGCAATATATCCTCAAGGGTTTCGAGATAGTCCTCTTCTACTAGGGATGCATTAGCCAAAGAAGTAAGAGTTGACACTAAAAGTACATGGATGATTTATTAATTGTGAGGTGCAGTCACCAGGATGTGGACAACAACACCATTACTGTCCTCGGTTTCCTGGCAGAACACGGCTACAAGGTCTCACCCATTAAGGCCCAGATTTTCTTGCAGCAGTGCAAAACTGGGGTTTCATTTTAACACCAGGGTCCTGAGCTTTGGCAATGAGCCAAATCCAAGCAATCACCTTATTACCTTCTCCCCAGACCAGGAAGCACATCTGGGGCTTCCCAGGCATGGCTGACTGGTGTCAAACACGGATACCCAATTCAGGGGCGTTAGCCAAGGACACTCTATGAAGCTCTAAAAAGAAGCAAAGAAAGGGAGTCACTTTCCTGAAATAAGAAATGTCAACAGGCATTCAAGGTCAGGTATATGAGACTGGGTCCAGTGGGCCCATCCTTATTTGTCTACCATTACACAATTTGTACTTTAGCATAATAGTAATCAGCTGTGCATCCCAATACCTTCTCCTGAAGGATACAGGAAGCAATCTATGTATTTACCCACTTGGTATGATGACCGACAAGGTGTGTGTGCACATTTGCAAAAGTGGTAAGACAGGATTTTTACCCACCTTATGTTCTGTGTCACTTTATTTTGCACACGTTTACTGGAGCATCACAGAGGGTCCAATAGACCCACGCTACTCCAGGATTAGTTTCTAAAAAAAGTTTTCTTTTGATTTTTCTGGCAGAAGTAACCCAGTTCAGTACAATATCACATGAAAAACCAGATTTGCAAGTTTTGGAGGAGGCCAAAAGTGAATCATCAGATTGATTACTCATGCAGAGATGATGAAGATGATGCATTATGGTAAAATACATGCTTTTATAACAGAAGAGTGATGTGGGTGGATGATGATGATGGTGATGGTAACTTTGATATTGGCCATGTGAGCCAAAGTTCCTGTGACAGTGAAATGGAGCAAGAATTAACTGATACTGACACAGGGAATGAAGACGTCCTTGATTCAGATGATAAAGGAAACAGTAATGTGAGTATATGTTTGACTAGTTGAAATGTTGGGAAATGGCCACACAACCAAATGGAACAATCTAGTGTGAGAACTAGGTCTGAAAATACAGTGCAAGTCTTGGGAGGGGTAAAAGGTATTGGACAAAATGCCAGTGCTGCCACTCAAATGTTGAAAATTTTAACAGATGAAATGCTACGAGATGATATAAAATATACAAAGGCTGAGACACAGTAAAACATTCTGTATGCACCAGTAGCTATATTCAAAAATGCATGTATCATGACACCTCACTAGCTGAACTGGAAGCATTCACTGGTCTGCTGCACTTCGGGATTTCTCATAATAATCACAGGAATATAAAAGACTGATGGAAGGGTAATAAGTCAAAACATGTCATAAAAATTTATGCCCTTGTAGATGCAAAGACTTGTTTTCAATTTAGAAATTTATCCTGGAACTCAGCCATCAGGTCCCTATTCATATGGCAATAAACCAAATGATGAAAAAAAAAAAATGATGTTGTGAGCAGACTTACTGCTCCCATCTCCTAAGCTAATCAGAATATGACAGTCAACAATAGGTCTACCAGTCTGCAACTGATACTACCTTTGCTAACAGAGTACAAGTCGACTAGCACAGAAACTGCAAAGGAACAAAGCAGAAATTCCAAAATGAAATGTTGCAATTTCAAAACAGAACTGTACAGTACAATCTTTGGATTTCAGAAAGATGTAACACTGGCCTCACACATGGAAAGAAAAACCTAGTACTGCTGATGTCAACACTGCACCATGATGGACACTGATAGGGAAACACTGACGAAATAGAAGCCTGAGATGGAAACTTGGTACAACAAAACCAAAGTTCGTGTTCTGGAAGCTACCTCAGGATAGCAGTTATTCACAGGAGGGGCCGTGAAAAGGATAATTCACCAGGGTAACAGTCTAAGGAGATGGATCATCCAAAAGTGCAGCCCAGACACTGCAGCCAGAGAGGTTACTGGCCATGGTACGGAGCATCGCTCAATCCTCTGCTTGAGAGAGCAGAGACACACTAAAGGGCACCTCAGGGCCACCTCGGGGTGGGGTACAGATGAAATGGGACTGACTCTCCTTCCTAAGCCAATGGGTAGTGTTCAGGGCTCTACCTGGAACCCATCAGTAACAGGACTCTTTTTTTTTTTTTGTCTTTTTGAGATGGGGTCTTGCTGTGCAGTTCTGGCTGGACCTGAGTTCACTTTGTAGCCCAGGCCGGTCTCAGCCTTGCAAGGATCCTCCTGCCTCAGCCTCCCAAGTACTGGGATTATAGGCATGCACCACCATACCTGGCAAGAAAAGGACTCTTTATGGTGCCTACTTCTTTACATGAATTAGGTCAAGTGGGTAACTATAACCTGTGAGACTTGTTTCAGTAACCTCAGTCCTACCCCGCCACTCCTGCTGACTCACCTTCCACTGCAGTCCATCAGCACTTGGCTGGGATGGGCTGCCCAGCAGGGATAAACGTGTATGACAGCACAGGCAGGGTCCAGCCCTGGGGCAGTGTGGACCACGGACCCTGGGTCATCACGCTGACCTGCAGTAGCACCAGGGCCCACCAGCTGGTGGATCTGCCAGCATGGACACCTTTGTCCCCCCACTCTGTGCTGCACATGCTATGCTGGGGACACTGTGGTACAGATGAGGCCGCGTCCCTCACCTGCTCTGCTGTCACACGACTCCATGCTGCTGCACGACCAGGGCTGTTGCAGAGGCACCTGGGAAATTAGTCTGGAAACAGGGTCGTGGGTTCTGGAAAATCTCGCCCCAACCGTGCAGGGGAAGGGTGTGGGCACCACCGGCAATCTGGGCAGCACGGCGTCACTGCCGGCACGCGGAGGCTCTCTGCTCCCCGGCTTTTTACAGGGAAATTCGGCTTCACACACGGACGTACGGTGACGGCAGAACCAGCCGGGCTGCCAGGGCTCCTGGGGTCAGGACACAGGCCCTGGGGGAGGCGAGGCCCTGGCGCTCCTCAACGTACCATCTCCGGCACGCGGGCTGACCTTTATCCTGAGCCCACAGTGCAGCCCAGAGGCCAAGAAGTAGAGCCAGGCCCCATTTCTGCTCGAGCAATCAGAGAAATACGTTCCCACCCTAAAAGGCAATTCGAGAACAATGCTGTTTTGGGTTCACCATTCCTAGCTTTCTTTGCTTTTTCCTTTACTTCTTCTTGGTCTCAGTGGAGAACTTGGCAACCCCTGGGGCTGGGCAATGGATGCTGAGCAGCTGCTGTCGGAGGTAGCCAAATGCCTGAGCTTTGCAGGAAAACCGGCGTGGAGACGTCAGGTGAAGGAGCGGAGGGGCGGCCGGCTCGCTCCTACCTGGCTGCTCGGGGCTGGGCGGAACCACAGAGGCAGGCGGGCTGCCGCTTCAGGTGACAGCATTCCCGAAGGACAGCGGCACCCACCACACTTACGCCTTTCCTAGCGAAAGTACACAATGTGCACACACCAAGGCTTTTCTCAAAGTTGCATTTAGATTAAAATTTTTTATTTCATTAAAAATGACTTCTTCCTTACAAATTTCCCAGAAAACATGGCCTCTTTGTTCTGGCTTCCGTGTTTAACACATCAGCAAGGACAGAGAATTATTGCAGGCATGTGAGTATAAAAGATTTACAAGCCAGAAACGTGTTCTCGGGGAGCCGGCTCTCGGATGACTCAGCTCAGACTTGTGGGGTCACTGGGGAAGCCCAGCGGGGAGCAGAGCGGGCTGCTGCAGGGCCGTGGTGACCCGAAGTCTTCAGCCCCAGCCAGCCTGGGCAGCGCCTCCAGAGGACGGGCTGGTGTGCCCGGCAGGCAGCGTGGCTCTCTCGGCGTCTCGCTGAGGGCCACCGATGGCAGGCCCAAGGAGGAAACCTACGGCACAGGCTCACCACACCCGGCAGCCAGGGTGCAAGGCTGAGGGAAGGCCTGGCTGCAAGCTCAGTCCGTCGGGCGGGTCGCGGCAGCCAAGTCCACCAGGCCAAGGGCACTGCTGGCACGGCCCGAGGAGACGCACCCTCACCACCCGCCCTAGCGGGGGGCTGCTACCGTTCAGGATCACCCAGGAACGGGAGTGGAAACAGAGCTCCCTTCTACCCTGGAATACGGCAGCATGAGGGCATGTGCCGCTTCTGGAGACTGCGAACACCCAGCTCCAGCCACAGCTGCCGAATCCCCTCGGTCCCGGGGAGCACAGAATGTCTTCATTCCAGTCCCCAGAAGTGGGAAGTTACGGTGAAAGACGTCATAAAGTACTGCAGCGCAGAGGAGAAAGGCTCCACTGGGCACACCTACGCCAGCTGCGGTTAAGGAGCGCATCCTTAACCTCACGCGGCTGCATGCGGCAGGCATCCTCCGTGGGACCCGGCCACACCCCCTGCCATCGCCATTCAGAGAGGGCTTCCCTCCTGTCCCCAGGACGTCCTTGCCAGCAAAGCTCAGGCTGCAGACCAACTGCTTCCTGGGGCTACAGAGCAACAGGGACCTCGGGAGTCAGCAGAGATGTTTTCTGGGGTCTCGCAGCAGGCGGAGTCTGCTGCACCCCACACGAAAGGTCTCAGCAGAGGCGCCCACACGGAACAGAAGCCTTGCGGGAATGAAGGAGGTCGAACGCGCTTCTGGCACGGAACAACCACGAACGCAGTGTGTGCTGCTGGCCCGGGCTGCCTGGCCGTCGGGCGAGCCTCTGGACCGCCACCTGCCCTCCGGCCCTGCACTTTCCCGGCTCCCGGGCTACGTGCGGCAGAGCTTCAGCGGAAAGTTCTCAGTGATGAGGTGATCGGCATGGAGCAGCACCACGACGTTGACCTCGAACTCTGTGGGGCGAGGAGACAGAGGCTCGTGTGCGCTCGCACGGAGCAGCGGGCCCGCACGCCAGGCTCGCCAGGGCCACGCCAGCTCTCACGCGAGGGAGCGCTCAGGGGCACGTGGACTTCCGTGCTGCGTCCCACCTGGTGTCGCCTCAGGCATGCAGCAAAACCACGGATGACCACTGCCACGGGTGAGAACGAGCTGTCCACCCAAAGTCTCCTACGTGGAGAGGCGACGGGGTCACGGGGACCCGAACCTCATCGGTGGAGTCACCCAGCCAGAGCTCGCAGAGACGGGGACACAGGGAGAGCCTGCCTCCAGAGCTCAGAGGCCGGGCCGCAGGGCGTGGGGCCCGGCGGGAGGAGACAGTCGCGCCTTGAAGGCTGCGTCCGTCTCTAGCCTGTCCTCTCCTTCCAGCTCTCCCGCTCCCTGCGTCGTGGCTGCTGTGAGCAGCTCTCCTCTGCCCGGCCCTTCTGCCTGGGAATCAGCGGGCCGTGGACTGAGACCTCTGGGGCCGTAATACAGAGTCCCCGCTCTAAGGCGTTCTGCACAGGTATTTGGTCAAGCAATGAAAGGCTGACGGACAGTGCCACTGTGCTGACGGGTGGGCGCCTACGCAAAAAGCGGGGTAGAAAACCACGCGCGGGATGCAGTTTGGGCCTTGTGCTCAAATCTTTACACATACAATCAGAGAGGCCAAGACCCAGTGGGCTGGAGGCCGTCAGAGCGTTACCGGTGATTACCATTCACTCCAGGTCTCGTTGGCGCCCGGCCCCATCCACACCACCCTCTGCCTGCCCGACCCTCACTCAGACTGGCCGTCTCCATGGGCTTTGTGCCACCTGGCCAAGCCTGCAGTGACAACGGTGACCCTGTGTGACAGTGCAAGCTCCACAGGAGCAGACGACATAAGCACCACTGTCTCTGAGAGCTGGCTGGGACAGCAGCGCTCAGAGCAGCGAGGCCCAGCAGACCAGGTGCCGGTCAGGCCTCTGTGAGGGCCGCGCCTTCCCCGGATCCCGAGCGCGGGTGGCGCCTGTGCCGCTTACCCACTTTGAAGTTGGTGGTCTCCAGCGTGGGGCAGGTGAACAGCCTGGGGAAGACCATGTGGATGGGGACCGAGAGGCCCCGGCAGACATCGCCGTCGGCAATCTGAATGTTCTGAATCTCTGTGGCATCTCGGGCGTAGCCTTCTGCGCACCCTGGGGAGGGCAGGACACAGCAGTCAGATGGCCGGACCCTGCGGCGGCTCTGCACCCATCTGCGCTGACACACCTGCCTTCTCCGGTTTGCTCCCCAGGGCTCCAGACAGTGCCTCAACCTGCCCCGCTCACTGTCCTCCCACAAACTGCGTGGGGTTTCGGTGACCGGCAGGTGTGGGTCAGTGAGACCTCAGAGGGAGGGGCCGTGCTATAAAAGCGAGCTCTCACCAGGAGCCGGGGTGCACACCTGTAGTCCCAGGCTGAGGCAGGCGGATCAGAGTTCAAGGCCCGCCTGGGTACACAGTGAGTTCAAGGCCAGCCTGAACTACATAGTGAGACTGTCTCAAAAAAAATCACTCACTCAATCAATCAATCCATAAAAGCGAGCTCTCTCTGGCGCCTGCTCTGTCTCCCAGGGCGACAGCCTTTTGCAAGATGGCACAGCAGGAAGGCCCCTGACAGACGCACTCTTGGGACTTCTGCTCTTTAGAACCGTGAGCCAAATAAGCCTCTGTTCTTCAGAGATTTCCCAGTCCCAGGTAATTTGTTACAGCAACTGAAAACAAAGCCGACACACAGACTTTCGCTGCAGCACAGAGACATGGCCTTACTCTTGCGTCCACCTACATCTTTCATTTTCCCCAGCACTGGGAATTGCACAGAGCATAGAACAATATCTGCAGCTTTTTAAAATTTTTTTTTGAGACAGGGCCTTGTTCAGTTTCTCAGGTTGGGCTCAAACCTGTAATCCTCCTGCCTCAGCTTCCTGGAGTGCTGGGATCACAGATGTGCACCATCGCGCCCGGCTCACCCACACTATTTTAACGACTGACCACACAAGGCCAACAGGCAGAGGGAAGGGACTCACCGCAGGTCTCCACGCGGACCAACTGCAGCTCGATGCTCCGGATGGCAGCGTCCGAGTGCTCCACCACCAGCTCGCCCGTCAGCGGCTGGGTGACCGTGCAGTTGGTGGAGTTGAGGTGGCCTCGAATGAGGAATTTGGGCAGCAATGCTCTCTACAACACGGGAAAACGCGTACGTCAGGCGCATAAGGAAAAAGCAACTATGCGATCATTACTTTCATGCAGATATTAAAAACTCAAAACAAAGTTAGGGAATCGTGACACAATGTGCTGGGATCCTGTTTTACAAATGGGAAAAGTACAACAGCGATCACATCTTTCAGCCTGGACACTGAAAGACTGAAGAGCTAACCTCTCAACATTCGAGGTATGACAGAAAAATATGGTGAATGTTTGAATAAGGGGCCGGGGATACAGCTCAGCAGCGTGGCACCTGCCTGCTAAGTGCAAAGTCCTGAGTTTGACTCCTGGTAACCCCCCAGTAAAACAAAGCAAAATAAAATGTATTATAGTAAAATGCACATTGCATGAGTCTCCTTAGAACACGCCCCTCTCACTTCAAGCACACTCCTCCCACCGTCCTGGCCCGTTCCTGCAGCCGCTCTGGAGCCCTCTTTCCTGAGGGTCTCTAGTTGTGCTGCCCTGGCTCCCCTGATGTGCAGAACCGATTTAAAACGTTCGCCTTTCCTGATCGCCTTGACCTTGGGGAGGCGATGAAAACTGCACGGTGCCAGAGCCGGTGGATGCAGTGGACGAGGACGCCGTGTCGTGTCTGCACAGCTGCCTTTCCGCTGGCAGGCGCTCGGCAGCAGCACTCACTGGAGTTGTGGTCACACCTCACAAGACACTCAGGAGAGGAGACTCCAGAGCTGCTGCAGCAAGCGGCGGGAGTGAGGCTGTGGCTGACACTAGGGGGCTGCTCTGAAGGGGATGCAGGGCGTGTGGCTTTCACTGCAATACATTTTTTAAAAACTTAATTTTGACCACAGCTGTACTTAAGGCTCCTAAAGACACAGCCTGTACAGAAGGACCAGCTCGCTCAGAAAATCATCCTCACTGCCCAGACTCGGATCTAGAAGGCCCCTTACACCAGGCATGAGATGTAAAGAAGTCTCAGGAAGTTGGCAAGGGCATTTAAGGACAACTTGACACAAGGGAAAAAAGGGGAAAAGAGGAGATTTTTAAAAAGGTAAGCAAAAAATATTTCCAATTGTGCAATTTTGAAAAGCCAAGATATTTTATTTCAAGGAAACATTATGGAACGGTTTTCCCAAGGCCTGAGGAAAAGCCTTTACATCTTTTCTTTGAGCCACAGGAAGCTGGCAGGGTGGCTGGCCACGGCCTGTGGGAACTGAGCCAGCCACTCCCGATCATTCCCTCGCGCATTCCCCGTCCAAGAGCAACACAGCACCAGCTGTGGACGTCACTTAAAATCACGCAGGTGGCCTGCAGTGTGTGATCAGCATATACGTAATTTCAAATGTGTCTAGGAGCCGTATTTTTTAAAAAATGGTAAAATGAATGAGCCTCTCCAAAATAGCATCACTTCCACACAATCAGTATAAAACTATGAGCGACGTTTTCATACCGAGTCTCTGAAATGGGTCAGGTTGTTCACCTTCCTGCTCGTCTCCACCCAGACAGCCACGCCTGAGGGTCAGGACTGACCTGGGGCCGGCGCTCAAGGAAGCTCTCACCTGGGCCCCAAAGGCAAGGACTAGAAGTGGCTTGGCTGAGGACAGGGTGAAAACACAGCAAACGGAGCAGTTCGTATTAAGATTCTTTTAGGAAGCTGAGAAAAGCAAAGCTTTCCACGTCCAGCTCGAAATACTGACTGAGGGGCTGGGGATTTAGCTCAGCGGCAAAGCGCCTGCCTGGCAAGCGCAAGGTCGTGAGTTCGGTTCCCGGTACTGGAGAAAAACCAAAAACCAAAAAAAACAACAAAAAAAGAAATACTGACTGAACACTCATGCCGCTCTTCCCAGCAGTACGGCGGGGACACACAGACGCAAATCAACCTCCGCCAGTCTCTGAGCCTCGTCTCCAGCCTTCCTGCGCTTCCTAGGAACTCATCCTCCCAGTGAATCTCTTCCCTACTTAAAAACAAACAGTGGTGTCTGGCGCACCAGCAATTCCATGTACGTGCTATGCCCTCGTCTGTCAACAATGAACACGAATGCTTCTGGCCTCTTCATTTACACGAGCCACCCTCCATCTAGAAAAGCTGTGAGGGACGCCCCCACGACCAGCCAGCGCAGCATCTGTGTCTGAGAAAGAGCTGGTGGGTCTGGTGAGGGGTAGGGTCGGGGGGTGGCGACTCTGCTCAGCCCAGCACTCAAGTTCTAGCCCAGCCAGAACAACTTAGTGAGACCCACCCAAAGGATAGCTCAGAGCAGGGGCTTAGGTTCAATCCTCAGGACTGCAAAAGCAACAATAAAAACCAGTGGATGGGCCGGGCGTGGCGGCGCACGCCTGTAATCCCAGAACTCAGGAGGCTGAGGCAGGAGGATCGTTGTGAGTTCGAGGCCAACCTGAACTGCAAAGTGAGACCCTGTCTCAAAAAGACAAAACAAAAAGCGAAATACTCCCGGTGGATGGGATGTCAGGTACGGTGGTGCATGCTTGTAATCTCAAGACTCAGGAGGCTAAGGCAGGAGGAGTCAGAGCCATCCTCCATCAGGAGGAGTCAGAGTCACACATGGCAAGACAGAGACTCCATCCCAAAAAGCTGAACAAGGAAATAAACAGTGGACACAGCATGCCTCAGTGGTGGAGCTCTTCTTGCCTAGTATGTGTGAGGCCCTGGGTTCCATCCCCAACACCACAAAAAAGGGGGAGAAAGTGACAGGCAACGAAGCCGGCAGAATTCAGGGGCCCCAGATGGTGTGGTCCTGGACAGCGTGACAGGCTGCGATCACACGAGCGTGCCCCTGGGCAGTGATGGGCCTACGATCATGTGAGTGTGCTCCAGGGCAGAGTGACAGGCCTGTGATGACAGAAGCGCGCCCCTGGGCAGTGGCAGGCCTGTCATCACAAGTGGGGCCCTAAACCCCGGAGAAGGGGCACTGCAGGTGACGCTTAGGGGAACACGACGCCTGTAACAGGAGGGTCCCTGAACAGGAAATGGGCATGCAGTCAGACCCTGCTGTTGCCCACGAAAACAGGAGAGCGAGGGCTGAACAGACAGGGAGAGCCAGAGGTGGTGGCGCACCCATGATTCCAGCACTCAGGAGGCTGAGGCAGGAGGGCTGCTGGGAATTAGAGAACAGCCTAGCTACACAGCGAGACCCTGACTCAAAAAAAAACCTAGAAGGAAAAAATGGAAATAAAGCTTTTGTGAATAAGGAGGGAAGCGGGGTTAAAGCAGGGGGGGATGGGAGAAAAGCAGCAGCAAGATACATCATGCGCAGGGACATGCCTTCTGTGATGAATGCGATCCTTACGTGTATCTAAAAGGCACCAAAAAAAAGATGAGCGGGGAGAAAGCCAACCGGCGCTGGGTCGGGTGTGCTCAGAAACCAGAGGGGAGCCACGGCAGAGGCACGGGGGAGAGGACATCTCCTTCTAGAACCTTCCACAGAGCTCCCAACAGGGCCCTTGCCTCAACTGCACCTTCCAAGAAATGAGGTCAGTCACCACTGCCGGGTCCCAGCTCTGCAGTTCTAACCAGCACGGTCCGGGAGCAGAGTGCAGAGCTGGGAAAGAAGGGCTCCAACCGCAGAGCTCGGGAACAGCCGCCTGCTCTGAGCAGCTCCATCCACAGTGACCGCGAGGGCCGCGCAGCGTGGTGAGGGCCACGCCGGGGTCCGGCCACCTGCGGGCACTGCTGGCTCCAGGACGCGCCTGGTGGAAGGGAAAGGGGGCAGAAAGCACACTCCCGCAGTGGACAGCGAGGCAGGCAGGCCAGCACAGACCGAGGTCTAACAAGCTGGGCACCACAGTGCGTGCTGTGGTCCCATGAACTCAGGAGGCTGAGGCAGGAGACTGCTGGCACCCAGGCACTGGAGGTGTGCCCAGGCAACCTGGAAAGACCCTGTCTCAAAAACCACACAAGGCACACACACATGACAAATGTCTGAAACGCACTTCTCTACATAGTTACTGAGCTCCGCGTGCAGTCAAGGTGAAGACACCGATGAACTCAAGTGCAGATAAAAATCAGGATCCCCTCCGCTGGGCCGATTCCCAAATAAGGAACAGGCGGCAGAGGCGGGCCGGAGCCCCGCGGCCGGCCCCGCCCACAGGTGTGCGTGTGCGGGGTGCGCACTCACCTCCTTGACGTTCTGCAGGGTCTCCGGCGTGATCGTGAAGTCCACGGGACTCGGGGTCAGCTTCCCTCTCTGCGGCTACATGGGAGGAAACAGTCAGCAGGGGCGCCAGGGCCCGGGGTCCCGGCACGAACACAGCTCGGCCAGAGGACAGTGCCACGCTCGTCCTCACCTCCCACCCCTCTGGGACTTAATTTCCCCATCCGAAAAAGGACACAGACGTCTCCATCCCCGGGTCGCTATGGGCTCTCATTTACAAGTCAGGGGAGCCCGCTGTCAGCCTCTCTCTTAGAACAAGAGCTAACGCCTTGGCTGCCCCTCGGGCCGCGCTACACACCGAGCATCATCACCCTGCACCCTCGAGGACCGGGCGCACGCAGGCCAGGACGCTGGGCCTCAGGGACACCGCCAGGCTGGCGCTGCCGTGGCCACCGTCCTGACCAGCAGCACCAAGAGGACAGGGCCACCTTACTTGCTGGACAACGGGGCCATAGCAGGCCCCAAGGAGAGGCTTACGGCTGAGTGGACGATGAACTCGCAGGTCTTGGTCAAGTCCTTGGCCAACAGCGACCGCCTCATGTCACAGCGCAGCGTGTACTGGCGGGAAAGTGGAGAAAGTGCCAGTTTAGCGGGCTCTGCGTTTGTGGTAGAAAGCGTGTCCCTGAGCACAGTGTATCTTGCGGCTGCTTTTCTCCCACTCCCTTCCCCTCCCTAGAAGGGGGATCAAAGGCGCAGGTAGTCCAGGAGAGTCGCCATGTTTGTGTCACATGAGGCCGATACACGACATGGGGGGTGTTAATGCTCCACACAGCGCATGTCTGCGAAAACTAAGAGCAGCCAGGAAAAACCACCCGGAGTTCACTTCCCAGCCCCCGCAGGTGCCTCCAGTGGGCCCACGGCAGGAGAGGAGAGCGCAGCCGGGAGCAGCTTCCTGTGTGACCCAGCCAAGCACCACAAGCTCCCTGAGCTCGGCTTCCCCTCTGTAAGCAAGGCCGCGGTGCGCAGCTGCGGGGAGAGTCCAGTGTGATGTGCGGGAGGCACTGAGCACGCGGGGCACTCGCAGACCCAGACCGCATACTGTCCCTCTCCAGCCGAGCCAAGTCCCCAGGGCCAGGCTCACAACGTCCTCAGGGCATTAGTTTACCAAGGCACAGCCACAGAGCCAGAGGCGGTGGCACAGGAGTGTGACCCCAGCACCCTGGAGGCTGAGGCAAGAGGATCCCAAATTCAAGTTGCCCAGGCAAGTTAGCAAAACCCTGTCTCCAAATACAAAAAAAGGCCCGGGGATGCAGCTCACTGTGAAAGCCCTAGATTCAATCCCTAGTACGGCAAAAGCCAAGGCCAAGGCAAAAAAAAAAAAAAAAAAGATCCAGAACTCTTAAAACTAGCTCCTTATGGCCAAGTGTGGGGGTGCACGCCGTAATTCCAGCACTCAAAGGTGAGGCAGGAGGATCTCTCTGAGTTTGGGGCAGCCTGGGCTACATAGTGAGTTTAAGGGTATCCTGCACTGCAGAGTGAGACCCTGTCTCAAAAAAACTAAACATTCACTGTACTTTCAGTCACCCATCGTGCTTGTGTTGCCTTCCTGCTAAACTCCCATTCAGTCTAGCAGGAGCTGTGGTTTGCTCTGGTTCCCCGGTCTCCCCGCTTCTTTCCCGGGGAACCCCCCCAACTTTCAGTGTCGAGTTGGGGCAGCTGGGACCTGCTCTGGCTATCGGTAAATGGGACACAAACAGGAATAAAGAAGGGTGCTTGTCCATGGAGCTACAGACTCCTGTACAGGGCACTTTTAACTGTGCAGGACAACCAGAATCTCTGTGAAGTAACTCTGCGCATGCATTTCAGCAGACATGGTGTGCTGCTGCATTCGACAGGGTAAACCCGTGCTAGCATGGCCACACTGTAGAACAAACATGGTAAAACTCGCCTGAGATCTAAATAACTTTTAAGAGAAAAAGCACTGCTCAAAAAACAACCACAACAGACTGACAGCTCCTTCTACACAATACCTAAGAAATGAAGAAGAAGCTCAACATGACTGAAAAGAGTGAACGCAAAAATCGTGAGGCCTTCACCTAAGCCGTAACAAGCAAACAGTGCAGTCAACTAAGCCCCGGGAGTTAGGAGTTTAATACTGGCTGCATTTTAAAGCCTTTATTTTTTGGCTTGTGATTTCTTTTTACATGATAATGCCACAACAATTCACATTATAAATGGGCAAATTTCTCGGTACCAATATAACTTGAGAAACAGGACAGTAGGGCTTAACAACAAAGCTTTTACCCAAAGTAATGCACCAACCATAACCTTCGGAGTAAGAGGAAAAGAAGCGGGGGCCAAGGCAGGGTGACAGTCTGTGGATCCTTATGCCGAGGCCAGCCATGTGACCACCGGAAGTCACTGTCCTTTCTATTGAACAGGAAGGCTGGAAAAAGACCTGCCAGGTACAGTAACGGATTATTATATGGGTGGACAGAACTCCTATAAAAGATTTACTCAGAAGATGCGATGACAAATTTGAATGTAAACTGTGAGATGACGATATTTGAGGATCTACATTAATTCTGAAAAGTATAAAAATGTTTACTCTGAAGGGCCAGGGACGTAGCTCAGGGGTGCTGCTGACCTGGCAAGCATGAGGCCCTGAGTTCAATTCCCAGTTCCTCCCAAAAAACACAACCAAACAAATTTTAAAAAAATGTTAACTACGAACTTGTAGAAGAATTTCCCTTTTTTTTTTTCTTTTGAGATGGGCGTATTTTTACATGAAGTGTGTTAAGACTCTGGCTCTAAAATGATTCCGGAAGAAATAAATAAATACAGATGAAAAGCTGACAGCAGGGCTGGCGGGAAGAGTCCCTGTCTGGTACACACAGGCCCTGGGCGCCATCTCCAGCACCAAAACATCAAACTCAAAATCAGAAAGTGCAAATCCTAATGAATGTTGAATAGTGTTAAAGATAAGGGAAGTCCGAGGTTAAGCTAAGAAATCTCATTTTCAGAAATCGGACGGGTACTCGGGGATGCACGCAAATCAAAGCTGCAGACCTCGGAGGCGAAGCCTCAAATGGTGAACCCTGGGGACCCGGGTAAAGCCAGCACTGCTTTTAGGGGTTGTCCAAAGCCCCGTGGGTATGTGCGTAGTGTGTGTGTGGCCTGGAACAGGTGCACTAATAAAAGGCCTGGTCACACAGTTTTCTTCACAGAAATAAAGTGCAGCAGCCGACATCTGACCCATGTCTCAGGCAACTCACTAAACTTACGTGCAGACAAGTCTTCGGTTGAACCGCCCGAGTGTTTCGAGGATTTCCTTTCAAAGGTGCGGTATTCTAAGTGGGGAAATGGTATCTACCAAATCTCAGTTATCAACGGAAACTTCTAAATTAAAACAAATCCCCGGCAGCCCGTCTCGCGTACAGAAGCGGCGGAGCGCTGTCTCATCTGGCGGGGGGGCTGCCGTGTGCGGGCGGCACAAAAGTACCTTTCTTCCCGCGGAACAGAGGAAAGGCTCGCGCCCTCTGGCTCTGAGTCACGATCCGCTCTGCTCCAAAGACAACAATGGCAGCTGTGAAAGCGCCCTGACCCAGCCGAGGTAGACGGGAAGTCATAAAGCCGCTTCCCCTCATTCACAAGGTCCGCTCAGTGAGGAACACAAGCCTAAGCAGTCGCCTTCGGGTGTTAAACAAAGAGATATTTGTAAGAATAAAATAGACAAGTCACGTGCTGGTGCCAGAAAGAAGCCAGGACGCATCTCCTACCCAGCAATCAAAGTGCCGGAAGTGTCCGCGTAGGCTGAGCGAAGCGCAAAGGAACCGTACAGAAGTTACAGCCCGGTTCCTGTCCTAAGGGACGTCACACAGGAGTGTGGACAGCAGAGCAGAAGTGAGAGATCAGTACTGAACCGAGTGCACCCGAGGGCCCGGGACTAAGTCAAGTGCTCAGTTCCTGGGGCCGGTGAGCAGCTTTTAGCGAGGGGAAGAGCAAGCCGGTTTCCTGCAGGAAGAGGAAGCAGGGGGGTGACGGCCACCGGGAGCTCACCTGGATGTTGACGAACACGCCGTGGTAAGTCTCGTACAGAACTCTGTTGCCCTTCACGTGCAGAGGAAATTCGAAAGGGATTTCTGTTTTGCCACTGGGAAACTTTCCTGGCTTCACCATCTCAATGGTGCTGTTGAGAATCTGGATTGGCTGTAAACAAAAATCAACTCAGTCCACAGCGCCTGCTTGCAGATGGCCCCTCCAATGACAGTCTATCGAGCACCTCCTTGGAGACACGGCGATCTGGGCTCCTGGACGCCACCAGCCCTTCCTGGTATCTCTGGCAGCAGAGTACTGGGTCTGCACATGAGTCCAACTGTTAACTTTTTCTACCCCTTGGCGGTACTGGGGATTGACCCTAGGGCCTTTGCGCTAAACTACACCTCTAACCCTTTTATTTTTCAATTTGAAACAGGGTCTCACTAAGTTAAGTTCCTCAGGCTGGGCATGAACTTACGATTCTCCTGTTTCAGCCTTCCAGAGTGATGGGATTATAGGGGTGGACCATCATACCTGGTTGAACTAGTTCCTTTCTTTTTTTTTTCCTTTTGAGACAGGGTCTTGATATGCAGTTCAGGCTAGCTTTGGACTCACTTTGTAGCCCAGGCTGATCTCGAACTCGCAACAATCCTCCTGCCTCAGCCTCCTGAGTGCTGGGATTACAGGCATGTGCCACCACACTTGGCTTTTTTTTGTCTTTTGGAGCCAGGTTTTCACTAGGGAGCCCAGGCTGGCCTCAAACTCATGTTGTTCCTCCTGCCTCAGGCCCCTGGGCGCTGGGATTACAGGTGTGCGCCACCACGCCTGGCTTGTTCCACTTTTTTAATCTGGCGCAGTAAGGGTTCCTTATATACATCCCTCTTTCCTGCCTAGATAACTCATTTCACTTCCCTAACAGGGGGAATCTGCAGAACGCAAAGGCGGACACAGCGACATATAGCTGCCTGGCCAGGAGGCCAAGGTGCTGTCAGGTGCACGAACACCGAGCTGCCTGCTTCCAGGCAGCCTCGGCCTCCTGCAGCTGTGTGGACAGGGCGGGCCTCTCCCCCAGCCCTGTGGCCACACAGCCCTCCAGCAGAGCCTCCGAGGAGGAAGGCAATGCCGAGGACGCGCATCTCGTTGTGGTGGACTAACCGATGGTCAGCTCGAGTGCGGACATCCAGCTGAACTGAGTCAGTGTGGCTCTGCGCATGGAGGGCATAAAAGGGAGACCTGCAGGGGGAGATGGTGCTGTGGGCTCTCCCGGAGAAGCTCGTCACGCTGGTTTTCCTGATATGCACTCAGCTGTTCTCATCCTCACGCCATGGGATCCAGGCCCTCGGCTGGATCCTGCGGGTCTCTGGCGCCTGGACAGATCTCTTGTGCTCTTCTACATTTGACTTTGTGGATGAATATTATAAAATAACCCCATAAATTATGCGTCCTATATTAAGTCCATTGCCTTGCCAACCACTGACTACAACAGTGCCCTTCCAGCTTGGATTTACCATCACCCTGAGAAAACCCACGGCACAGAAAGGCAGTCTCTAAGTGCTAATGAATTACTGTAAGATGACTGCAAGGACGTGGACCGCTCCTACATCGGAACACTGCTTACTAACAAACTCTCTTCCCTCTTAACTCTTCCTTCTCGAGTGAAGAGCTGACATGGTCCTCAGGAAAAGGAAACAGCTCAGGGAGTTCACATTCTGGAACACAAAACTACTCTAAGTGACGCAAAAGAAAAGCCACTTGCTCCATCTGCAGCATACCTTGACGTCAAATCCAACAAGAGCAACACGCACAGCTAAGAAGCGAGTTTTCATGGAGACGGCAAGCAGCACACGCAACTTCTCGGGAGAGCTAACGGTGAAATCGAACACCCACAGCCCTCTAAGCCTATGTACCAAGCAGGAATAAAGACAAGCAGGCCCTGTAGCAGGAAATTTTAGAAACAAGTATGTGCATGTCTTCAGGTTAACCAGGAAGTACTAAAGGGTGGGGATCACCATCCCTTGCAAAGTAACAGAGCACTCCACATCCAACCGAGCATCTTACCTTCACGGAATTGTAGAAGGCTTCGAACACGCCCACGCTCTTGGCACTCAGCTGCAGGTTCACAGTCCCTTCCATGGTCAAGGACACTCCCTGGTGCTGGACGGAATCCTTACTGGAGATGACCACCACGCCCGAGAGCATTTCCTAGGGGCAAGAGGCGGCGCCCATCAGACCAGCACCTGTGCCTCCTGCGAGGTCCAGGATGAGAAGGCCCCCGGCCCAGGGCAACGGTGCCCACTGAGAACACTGGGTACCGCAGAGGGCACGGGCAGGGCTTCCACGCACGTCTCTGTTCCTGGCTGGGAGAATCCCAACGGCTGCCTACTCCCAAGGGCACAGGAAAAGGCCGGGACACACTTACAACTGACAGGCGCCCTCGGGGCGCTGGAGCCTGCAGGGGGTCAGCACCACACAGCAGCCCCCTCCAGGGACTGTCCTCAGCCCCTAGTTCTGGCTTGCTCGGAGACGCACACCTTTACCCTGGTTCGTGAATCTCTCGGAGAAGCCTTCATGACAAAATGTCCTCACTTATCGGACGATAATTCCTGAGTAACAGGAGGAGGACAAGGGCCATATTCTCTTTAGTATGGCAGTGGCTTCCTGTCACCACACATCCTGCTGGCCGCGGTGAGCGAGGGGATGCAGTGGAAGAGGAAGTAGAGGAGCCTGAACACCATCAGCCAGGGAGCCCGAGATGAACACAGCGCAACACCCTTCTGGCGGGGCTTTGGAAACAGCGTGACCGCCGTCAAGGGTGCCATGGCGGCAGAAAGGTGTTCACACAACCAAAACAACAGGAAAAAACTGTCTTGCAGATCAACCATTACAAACACCTGTGCTACCCATGTGTCACGGGCTTTAGTCACCCAGTGCAATCTGTTACCTTGTTCTTAAAGCCCCCGGCATGTGGGGAGTCAGGAATATTCTGTGACCCTTAAATGTTCTTAGGTATTTTGTTTGTTTTCCACTACGCACCCCAAATCCCTGAAATCTGTGTTGAAACACACACTATCATCACCATGTTAAGCAGGTGGTTCATCCGGGAGGAAGCTGGCAGGACAGCTGCAGAAGGTGTTCAGCAGTGGGTGGGTCTGCATCTTCTTCATGTCAACCCCCAGTAAATAGAAGCAAAGCATGTGAAGTCCTGTTCTACACCCTACAACAATGCATTATACCTGAAAGCTAATACAGCCTGTAAGTTTTGGCATAAAACCAAATCAAATGGATTGGACTGGAAAAACTTCAATCTTGTTGGCCATGGCTCGTCATGGTATCTTTGAACCAGTACTTTTCAAACTGGGCTCAAGGCCACTGCAGGCATCTCTGCAGCCACTTTGGGATCCGAGGAAGATTTGGGAAGGAATATGAGGAGTTGGATAATTTCAGCTCAAACAGAACAGCTCTGGTTTATTTGTTTATAAACTACTTCAATGTGTATTCATAAAAATCAATACATCAAGTTCATTTAACAGATTTCACTGCTTCAATTATTTTTGGACAACCTTTATCCTAACCATGTTCCATGTCTTGAGCTACTTAGGAGAAAACACCCATCTGTAATTTACAAGATGGAAGGAACATATATTCTCTACCACCTTGAGAAGAAACCATTTCTCTGGGCCTGAACTTTTTCCTACGGACAAATGAGAGAATGAACTGTCTCCTCACCATGGAAACCAAGAGACCATGCTACAGTTGCTCTCTCTAGAAATATGGCCAGGAAATCTGGGGTGCAGGTAAATCAGAGGGATCTTCACCTTTACGTGCTGTCTGAAAATTTTCTGACAGGACATATTTAAGGGGGTGATTTCATTTTTTTCTTTGATTTATGGAAATGTTTAAATGTTACCATTTTTTTATATGGAAAAATGCAAATAAGAGGTACAGTTTCCCGAAATGTGACCTGGAAACAGCAGGTCCAGAGGACGCTCTGGACGCGAGCGCAAGGCTGTGTGGCCGGGCATGGCAGGCCCTGCGCCCGTGTCCCTGCGTGCACCACACCCATCGGCATCTCGAAGGCTCTGCGAAGTCTGGCTACGGCCGGGAGAGGCCGCCAGGGCCCGAGGGCCGAAGACAACAGCACTGCGCTCTGCGGGGCCGCCTCCCGCCCTACAGAGCTGCACGGTGGGCCTGGACATCTACACAGGCCAGGCTCACTTCAGGGCCTTCTCCCTGGGGCACTGCCCTCAGCCACGGAAACAGGGTGCTCCTCCGCCTCGGGCTGGGCCTCGCGTGCTCCTGGGAAGGCACGAGGTCAGCCTCCTGGCCGCCAGCGGAAGAGCCAGTGTGCTCCCTGAGCACAGGCTGGAGCCGAGCGAGGAGCCGGGCGGGGCGGGCTGCAGACAGAGCTGGGGTGACAAACGCTGCGGATGTAGCTGTGAAGAAAGGCAACAGCAGGCGGGACGCGGGCTTCACTTCCACTTTTCAAGAACCTGCCGTGGCCAGGGGTGGTGGTGCACGCCTATAATCCCAGCACTGGGGAGGCGGAGGCAGGAGGATCACTGTGAGTTAGAGACCAGCCTGGGCTACAAAGCGTGCTCAAGGCCAGCCTGAACTGCACAGCGAGACCCTGTCTCAAAGACAAAAACAAAAAGAACCCGCCCCGCCAGGGACTGGGCCACTGAGCCAGCACAGAGCGCTGGAGAGGAGGCGCAGACGGCGACACCGAGGCACGGGCCAGAAGAGCCCGCTCGGCCCGCAGAAGGAACTCATGGAAAGGGGCAGGGACGTGCTGGGAGACAAAAGTGACAGCAGTGGCGGACTGCCCGGGACGGGGAAGGGGATCGGGCGTGGAGACCAGCGGGTCTGTGGGCTCAGGCAGGGGCACTGGCTGGGGAAGGCGCCCAGGCGGGGAGAGGCGCCATCTCCCCAAGGCCTGCCAGAACTGCTGCTCACCAGCCCATGAGAGGTGGCCCTCAGTAGCCTGGGCCATGCCGCGCCTGAGGCAGGGCAGGGAACTGGGCGGAGGGGTGGACGGCAGGGTTCGGGCCACACAGGGGCTGGCTGGTGGCAGGAGCAGAATCTGCAGTTAGGGGAGGAGCGCTGCCTGCGCTGGCTGAGTGGGGCCCGGGTGCGTGACCCCTGTGACCTGTGCAGGCGCTGCAGCCGGGGGTGACCGCACCCTCAGAGCACAGTAGCTTCAGATGCCCGCCCGGCAGGATGTGCTGAGCAGGCAGAGACCACAGAGACAGTGGCACTGCCTTGCGGCCTCTACACAGGCTGGGATGATTCTGCAAATGCTTCTGGTCCATTACGTAAGGGCCAGGGTGCAATTTAGGAGACAAGCCTTTTTAGGAGTACTAGGTTATTCGTGAGAAAAAAAGAGACCTACTTACAAGTTGAGATGATTGCTTCCTAAAACGTTCAAAACCTCCAAAATTAGCTCGACATCCCGCCTACCTCAAAGATCTACATTTCTGACCCTAACAGCATTCACTTCTAGTTCATTTACTAAGACCCTGGCAGGACAAAGTGGAATGGTTACGCTTTTTTTTTTTTTTTTTGTCTTTTTGAGACAGGGCTTCACTATGCAGTTCAGGCTGGCCTTGAGCTCACTTTGTAGCCCAGGCTGGCCTCGAACTCGCAGTGATCATCCTGCCTCAGCCTCCCGAGTGCTGGGATTACAGGAGTGCGTCACCATGCCCAGCAGTTATGCGTTGTTTAAAGTAGCATTTCAGATTTGCAGTTTTTCTTCATAATAATAAGCTGTTTATTTTTTAAAACAAATTACATGCAAGCTAAAGAGGGCAAAATGCAGAGAGTACCAAAAGTTTTGTGGTAAAAGGAATCAGCCCACAGTGCACAAATCCCTTGTTGCTGAAACCTGGCTGTGCTGGGCAGTAAATCTTTTATGGACGTATTTCACAACTGTAGTATTTAACAATGCCATTTTCTGAGCATCTGTGCCAGATTTAAAAACGTGAAACATTCTGAATTTGTTTAAAAAAACTACACTTGCATTAGGGAAATATTTACTGCAGGGTTCTAATCAATAAGCTCCCCTAGTGCACTAAAGATATAATTTATGATGGATCTGAATCAAACTTTTTGATCTAGAACACATTAGGGATGGGCGTGGTGGCACACACCTATAATCCCAGCACTCAGAAGGCTGAGGCGGAAGGCTGAGGCAAGAGGATCACTGGAGTTCAAGGCCAGCCTGGGCTACCAGGTGAATTCAAGGCCAGCCTGAACTGCATGGTGACACCTTGTCTCAAGCAAACAACCATATTAGGGCACCATTCATCCCGTTTCCTGAGCCACAAACATCATAATCCCTGCACGTTCCGTTTGGTCACTGACCACCTTCCTCCAACCAGAGGGCAGGCACTGCCGATCTGCAAGTCATCGGGTGAGCACTGTCTCCGCCATCAGGCATAGTGTGAGGAGCGTCACGGCAGACAAAGGAGAGCGCCCAGGGCTGACAGACTGTGTGCACCACGGCACAGCGATGGTGCCGACCACCCAGCACCACGATGGCCAGGGCCCGCGCTCGGCATGCGGCCTTTGAACGGGGCTCACTTTCTTTCTGTAGATGAGAAGAAAGACCCACAGTAAGCACGGTGAGAGCTACGCTCGGGAACTAGAAGGCCAAGTTAAAATATTCACTACTATCGACGCCATGGGTGTCATGTGTCACTGAGTTCTCCGAGCCTCAGTCTTCTCAGCCATAAAATGGGGCCGCACCTCCTCATCACACAGCTGAAGTGGGCTATGCTGGTGTAAGTTACTAGGAAACACTATTCGTTAACTGTTCCCGTGAGAGAACACCTGTGCTGGAAACACAGAATCGGGGCGCTACTGATCACACTCCTGACAGCCCTGTCCCACGTGTAGGACTGGGGAAGGAAGACAAGGGTTAGACCCAAGGGGAGGGACTCAGAGCAGGCGGCCTCCGGCAGCGCTGCAAGCTAAGGAAGGTCTAAGTCATGCGGGCCGGTCCGGGAGCTGGGCTCTGGGGAACCAACCTTGAGACAATTTCCTATTGTTTTCTATTTCTGAATGAGAAAACCGTATTTACAGAATTCTCAAATCCCTACTCCCACATCTATTCGAATCGTTCTCTTACCGTCTAACCCTAACCCAAATACTAGCAACACATGGGGTCAATGTGTAGCTCTAGAGCTCAGTCAAGGTAAGTCTTG